CCCCCCTGCCGGTCTTAGTGTGGGCGCCTGGTTTTCGGTTCTTTGGGGCCAATACCAGCTGGCCCGCCTGCTGGACGGTGTGATAGGAGGAGGAGGGTTAGTTTTACGGCAAACGGCCCGACTGCCCCCGCGGTGGCTGTAGGAGGGTGGGCCGCCCCCCCACCGCCCCCGCCCCCGGCAGTGGGTGGGATTCCCGCTGCTCCCCATCCTCGCCGGCACGTGGGGCTGTCCGCGCCCGAACTCTGGCTGCGAGGATGGGAGTGTGGCGGCACCTCGTTGCTGTTCAGGGAAGTGCAAGTTGCACCTCCCTGGTGACCTCTGACCTGGGGCGTCTTTTCATCTACCCTCTGTGTATCTTCTTGGGCGGGGGAGGTGTCTGGTAGGGTCTCTGCCCGCTATGGGATCCGGGCAGAACCTGCCTGTCTGGCTGGTCAGTGCTGGCCCAGCCTTGCGGACACAGCTCGGGAGAGAGGCCAGCCTCCGCCATCGGCAGTGTCCGCGGGCTTCCGTGCGCACACCTATCCGGCACGTCCCACAGGCGTGCGTCCGCAAGGGGGTCCGGGGCCCCCGGAGTCCCACCGCTGTCAGACTGACCCTGGCTGTCAGCACAGCGAGGCGGAAGCCGGGGCCGGACTGGAAGAAGCAGTTGCTCCTGCCTGGCGCTGCGCACGGGCTCCTCTGCTGCAGAAGGAGAGCCCGGCCTCCTTCCAGCAACCTGGCCCCTGTGCCAGACCCTCTCCTGCCGCCGCCCGGCCCGGCCTGCCTCCCGGGGCGCTGCACGGGCGCGGGCACACACGCACGCCCTTCCCCTGCGGCCCTGAGGACCGGCGCTCCCGGACAGCGCTCCCCACCTCCGGGGCGGTCGGTTCCGCCCCGGCCAGGCTTCTCGGTGGGGTTCCTGTGTCACCGGCCCGATCCCCGCAGTGCGGGCAGGGTCGCTGGGTCTCGTGGGGTTCACGTCTGCGCGTCTCTCCTGCTGGGCTGCGAGCCTCCCCAGGGCGAGGCCCCCGGTCCTGTCCCCGTCCGTCTGTCCCCGCACCCGCCCTGAAGACACCGAGTGGTGCCGCGTGATGGTGGAGCCTGACCGGAAGGGCGCGCCAGGCAGGGAGTCCCCTGGGTGGGCGCTGCACGGGACAGGCCTGGGGGGCCGCTTCCGGGACCAGGGAGGCTCCAGAAAGGCGGTCTCCGAGAAGGCCAGGGGTCGCCAGGGGTCACCAGGGGTCAGCGGCCTGAGGGCCGAACTAAGGTCTTTGCTCTCGGCCAGGCAGGTGGGCAGCCAGCGAGGGGCCCGGTCCCCCGCGGTGCGGGCGTCCCCCCGAGATGCCGCAGAGGCAGATTGGGGTTCAGTCTGGCCGCGCTGAGGGAGCCCCGGGTGAGCCTGGGGACCAGGGCCGAGCCGTGGGGTTCAGTCTGGCCGCGCTGAGGGAGCCCCGGGTGAGCCTGGGGACCAGGGCCGAGCCGTGGGGTTCAGTCTGGCCGCCCTGAGGGAGCCCCGGGTGAGCCTGGGGACCAGGGCCGAGCCGTGGGGTTCAGTCTGGCCGCGCTGAGGGAGCCCCGGGTGAGCCTGGGGACCAGGGCCGAGCCGCGGGGAAGGTGCGGGGCTCACACACAGCCGGGGGGGGGGCCCGGGGGCGGGAAGCAGGGGGTGGGGGGCCGAGGGGACGAGCCGGCCCTGCGGCCCCCCCCACCCCACCCCGCACGGGCGGTGGGAAGGCCTCCTGTCCTGACTCCCGCGCATCCCTGGAGGCCTCTGTGGCCGGCGAGCTCCGCGGCTTCCTGCCTGGTCACAGCCTCCAGGTATCTGCAGACAGACCCATCCCCTTCCGCCCGTCAGTCCCCGCTGGCCTGCCGCGGCCGCCCTGTCCAGCTCGCCCCGGGCACGGCCTCTGGCCCCTCTGGCGGGTCTCGTTCTGTGTCTCCGGGTTTATTCCATTCTGGCAGTTTCCAGAGACACAGTAAACCACAGGGTGTGTGCGATTTTGAAGCAGAAAACATAAGTAAGTGTCCCTGAACTTATTCACGTGACGTATATAAAATAGCGGGTGTGTGGTGAGTGGTGTGTGGTGAGTGGTGTGTGTGAGCAGTGAGTGTGCATGGCGTGTCCGTGTCCGTGGTGACAGAGTCTGTGGGGGGCTGGGGGCGCCCCAGAGAAGAGGGAAGGAAACTTCTGAGAAATCAAACGTAGCTCATCCCGACTCAGGCGGAGACACTGGCCGCGATGGACGGTGAAGTGACCGTGAAGGAACCTAACAGTAAGACGCACGACAGGTCGTCCTGTGAACCTTGCGCCAGAACACGGCTTTGAACACGAGCGGAACTGACAGCCCTGGCCTGCGGGGTGGGTCCGGCCGACGCCCCTGGGCAGAGGGCCCTCGGGAGTCAGCAGCCCGCGGGTGTCGGCCGGAGGGGGCGGGGAAGGGGTGCGCCAGGGGAGCTGCCTCTTCCCCTCCCCCTCCCCCTGGACCGGAGGGAAGGAGGGGCACCGAGAGAGACCACAGGGAGACCGGGAGTGGGCGGCGCTGTGGCCGGTCCCCGAGCCCCGGGCAGCGTGGGTGTGGCCCGCAGGGCTCGCTGAAGCTCAGCTCCCACCGTGGGCCGCAGAGCTGGGGCTGGCCCGAGGGAGCGACCTGAGGTCCGCCTCACCACCCCGTCTCCCCGCTCCCGCCCCAGCCCCTGCCCCCGTGAGTGGGTGGGGATGGCAGGGCAGGGGAGCACCCCCCCAGCAGAGGGCCGGTGCCTCTGGGCCCCACGACTGCTCACAACTGCTCACCCCGCGGGCTTGTGCGCCTTCCTCCGCCCCGGGCCTGCTCACCAGCGAGGTGAAAGGGTCGGGGGCCCAGCGCCCTGACTGGGCCCAGCCAGGCTGCGAGGGGACGGGCAGCCGGGGGAGGTTCCCCCGCAGGAAGTGGGGGACAGCTTCCGGCACCTTTGGTCCGAGTGCAGGTTCACTCCGCTGCTCCCGTCGTCCCTTCTGCTCCTGTGGCCGCTCACGGGCCTCCGCGGGTGGTGGTCCCCGCGGGCGGTGGTCTCCCCGCGGGCGGTGGTCCCAGCGGGCAGTGGTCCCCGAGGGCGGTGGTCCCCGCGGCCGCCCGTCTCCAGCTATCCGTAGCTGGAGGCATCCCGGTCCGTGCAGGCGAACCCGGTTCTCTCCGGGGTCCTCTCCCAGGAAGGAGCGGGAGGCGCACAGCACGGCCCCACACCCGCCCCGCAGCCCCGGCCCCTGTGGGCAGCCCGCCCACACCCGCCCAGCCTCCTCTGTCTGGCAGGTGGCACATTTCTGTGTGTGTGTGTGTGTGTGTGTGTGTGTGTGTGTGTGAGAGAGAGAAACTTTGACATGAATTAGACCTGAGAGCAGGTTGCCGTGAACCCCCTCTACAGGAGGGGCTGAGAGGGCCCCCGCAATGACCGGCGCCGGCCAGCCTCACAGCGGGCACTCGGGGTCGGGGCCGCGGTCAGCCGGGGGGGAGTGGGGGCGGGTCAGGGGCAGCGTCCCCCGGACGGCGTGGGCGGCTGCTCCGTCAGCCTCTGGTGCTGCCCGCCGCCTTGTGCCTCCCCGTGTTTGTCCGGACGTGCCGGTGGGGACGAAGCGGTGTTTGCCGGAGGGAGGCGTCGACCGGCCGGGGCCCCGCGGCAGCGAGCAGGCCTGTGGCCTCCCCCAGGGACGGGCCGCAGGGGCCGCGCCCGCAGAAGGTGGGAGGGTGCGGGTCCTCGGGGAGCGGTGGGGGGCGCCAGGCCCCCCGCGTCCCGGAAGGAGCGGCGCTGGAGCGCGGCGATGGGCGGAGTCGTGCGTCCCCTGGTGTTTGCTTGCAGGGTGACTGAGACCCTGGGACCGGCCCGCCGTCTCCGTCGCCGCGGCAGCGGCCGGCTGTGCGTGCGCACCCCTGCGCGCAGCAGGGGGTGCCGGGTAGGGTGCGTTCCCACGTGGATTTCCAGTTTTCGGAACATCTCGATTGAGTTTTCCCAGAAGTTGTTTTGCTCAGGCCTGGAAAGTCTGCGTGTGGCCGTGTGTACGTGTTTTGGGTCGATTCCATTACCATCGGGGCTATTTCTCTGTAACAGCAGGATTTTCTTTTCTTAGAAATGAGAGCGGTATGAACACCGGTGGGAGAACAATCCATTCTTCCTCCGATCCCGGCGGAGGTGCGGACTGAACGCGATGTTCCCTGGCGCCCTCCCGCGTCCAGCATTCCCCTCCCCCCTCTGGCCCACCGCAGGTCCCCCCCCGCTGCCCCCCCAACCTGGTCGCCTGCCCCCCGAGGAGCACCCCCCGACCTTGCTTCCCACACACCTCCCAGCCAGCACAGCCACTGGCTTCTCCGAGAGGCGACCTCAGGGACAGAGGCCGGCGATGACACTCCATGTGGACGGCGGGGAGCCCTCGGCGTGTCCCCGAGGGGGTGGGGGGTCTGCACTTGTCTGCCCCGGGGGAAGCGACTGGGCCTCCCCGTGACTTTGACATCCTCCGGACCCAGAGGAGCACAGGTCAGCGCCCCTGACCCCGAGAAGGCTCCCGCTGCCCGGCTCTGCTCCCCGGCGCCCCCTGGAGGCGGGCGCCCTGCGCGCTCGCTGGCCGGCCTCCTGGGTGTGCTGCCTGGAACCCCCGCCCCGGGGGCTGATCCCCCGGGCACTGTGCAGGGCGCGGCTTCCAGGAGACGCTCTGGTCACACGGCAGGAGCCCTGGGGTGTGGGGGGGCCCCCCAGTCTGCGACACAGCCGACGCTTTCCAGTATTTGGGTGCAGAACTCAAAATGATTCGAAGGCTCGTACCTTTCTTTTATTGTTTGCCCGTGAACCGTTTGCCTGGCGTGCTGCCCGTAGGTCGCTTCAGAAAGCGGCAGCCCCCACGTCACCGTGGGCTCGGGCCCTCAGAGTTCAGGGGCACCCGAGACCGCACCCCGAGCCGTCGTCTGGGCCTTCCCCGAAAAGGGCGGGAGCGCCGCGGCCGACCCGCCCTCCCCACGGCGCGGCCCGGGGCCTGACCCCCCTGTCTCTTCCCGCAGCTCTGCCGCCTGGAGCGCCACCTGTCGGCCAGGCCCTACCGCGGGACCCTGTTCGCTGGGCAGCCCCCGATGTTCCTCTCGCCGGCCAGCGCCCCGCCCAGAGCCAGGCTCGGGGAGCTGGTCCGCCTGTGCGGGGGCCGGGTCACCGGCGTCCCGCGCCGGGCCGGCATCTTCATTGGGCCCTGCCACGGGGAGAAGAAGGGGACCGGCACGCACCTGTCGGAGAAGTGGATCCTAGGTAGGAACCTGCCCGGGGACCGCCGGGGGGGACGGTGGGGGGGGGGCCCTCCGACAGCAGCAGCCACCACCACTGCGGGGCGCCCCTGGGGAGGGGGCGGTGTCCTGTGACAGGACTGGGCTCTGCTGGGGCGGAGTGGGGGGGAGCCTCTTGCCCACCGCCACAGGCCTGGGGGCCTGGGGGGCCTCTGCCTGCTCCCCTGCCCTGACCGAGTCCTGCCGTTGTCCCTGGTGGCTGGGCGGGCCTAGACGCTCCGAACTCAGAACTCTCAATGTCGGGGGGGCTCCCTGCCGCACCTGCTGTGACCAGGCAACTGCAGTGGGACGACGCCCGCGGGCCTTGCTGTGGGGACAGACTCCGCCTCCTCCTCTCTGAGACCCGGTGGCCGTCAGTCTGCCGGGGTGGCTGCAGCCAAGGGAGCGGGCGGCCACTGGGACCCCGGGAGGGTGGGCCTCAGCCCAGGGCCGGGGGCCCAGTGTCCGCAGGGCCGGTTTCCCTGGAGGCCGTCTGCCCCCCCCCAGCCCCACCCCCGTGTCTCCCTCGTCTCCTGCTCCTGAAGGGACACCTGGCGGGGCGGCTGCGTCCTGCCCCAGGGACCGCCACCCGACACCGTCACCTCTTTCGAGGCCCTCACGCCCCAGTCCGGCCCAGCGGGGATCTAAGGTCCCAGGGGTCGGGCCTTCAGCTTGGGGACTGGGGGGGCGGGGGGGCGGCTCCGCTGGGCTGGCAGCGGTGAGTGAGCCCAGGGCCCGCCCCCTGGCCGGGGCCCTTCCCCGCCTGGCTTCTCTCGCGGTCTCGGCGGTGCCCTCTCCCTCCCGCCCCACCCCCCCTCCTCCTCTGGTTCCTTTCCGGTCCCCTTCCCACTTGCTTCCGCCTGCGTCCCGACCAGGAGCCCCTGGCTCTTCTCGCCCGTCCCTAGTCGCCGTCCTCGGTCAGAGGAGGGGGCCCCGCGTTGGCCCGAGTTACTTACGTTCACACGCGGCTGCACTCCGCCAACGCCCCCGAGTGACTGACTGCTGGTCGTTCCTGACGTGCGCGAAAAGGATGGCAGTCCAGAGTAACTTTGTACTACCTCATGCAGAGCAGTTTGTCTTTTGCCTGGAAACTAATTTAAAAAAAAAAAAAAACTGTAATTTTAGCTGCAATCCAAAGAGCCAGGAGGCTGTTTGCGCTTCTCTAAGCACCGAGAACACGGCTCTCCCAGCAGCCCACGCTGCGAGACGGAGCCTCCTCCTGTCTTCCCTCCTAGAAGAGCTCACGTCCCCAGACGAGGGGCCACATGCTCCCCCCCCCCCCGCCCCCGCTGGGACCAGAGAGACAGGCCCGCACTCTCGTCCTCTCCGGGTCGCGGACCCGCCGGCCCCTCCCCCCCGGCCCCCCTCAACTCTGTGCACAGCTGGCCCCGCTGGCGGCTCTGTGCTCAGCTCTCCTGCCGGGGCCTCCAGGAGGCGACCGTCCCCGGCCCGAGCCCAGGGGTCAGTCTGCAGGGCGCTGTGGAACCACGCTCCGGGTCCCGGAGCCGGAGCGGCAGCAGGCCCGGGCGCCTGTGCCTTTCCTCCCCCGCAGCCCCCGTCCCGTTCCCAGTTGGCCGTGAACGGCCCGTCTGCGCCTGCCGTGGGCTGCGTCCGGGCACTGTGTGCCCTTGGCCATCCGGGTGCAGAAACCCTCGCCCCTGCGACGGCCCCGGCTGCGCTGGGCCCTCCGCAGCTGGGCGCTCGGGGCCACGCCCCGTGTTTTCAAATACTCATGAGTGCGCACGCTTGTCTTTCTGCGTGAGCTGCGGGGCGGCCGCTCCAGCTCTGTGGGAAGGGCGGCTTCGTTTCTCTGTCTCTGCTCCCTGCCCGGACCTGCAGAGCACACGGCCCGGAGCCTGGCCTGCCTGCTCACCCAGGGCCTGCCTTGGCTGCTTCTGTCCCCAGAGGCCACTCCGCGATGCTCCTGGGGCCTCAGTCACCCCGTCGGTAAAACGGGCAGCTACCTCTGCTCGGCCACCTCGCGAGGGGGCCCCAGGACGAGGCCCTGGAGCGCGCAGAACCGCGCAGGTCCCCGCGGGGCGTCGCCCCGGATCGCTGGGGACAGTGTCCACTGCCCTGTGGGTGGGACGGCCGACCCGGCCCTTTGACAAAGTGAGATTTTGGAAGACCAGGCGAGATCAGGAGTGAAACTATTTTTAAAACTATGTGAAAGCACCAGTTGCAAAGGAAAATAATTGTTCTGCGACATCATGAAAGGCAGTGCTCAGAACCCACCGATTACATTTGCTGGAACTGGGCTGCGGGCCGCTGTGAGGTGGGTCCCCTGAGGCCTAGTCTGGGAAGGCCACAGTGAAAAGGCTTCCGGTGACCTTGGGTCTTCCTTCCCAGATGAAGACCCCAGGGGCTGGGGCAGCTTCCTGTCGCTGTGATTGACGGGCTCTTTGTTTCTGCGACAGAGTGAGGGCTGGTCCAGCATGGGGTTTTCAGGTTTCCAGAGGAAGCACCGGCCACAGCCCTCCACCCCGAGGGCCGAAACCCACCCGAGGGCCGTCTTCTCCCCCCCCCACCCCCGTCCCGTGTCTCTAAAGACAGCGACCCAGCGTTTAGGGGTGTGAAACCCCCTGTCACGTGACCATCCTGGTTGGGAGAATGCTTCCAGCCCTTTGCTGTTTCTTAGGGGAGGCTCTGGGGTGACCATTTGGCACCAAGCAGCACAGAGCCTCAAAGGTGGGGGCGTGAAATGCCCCCTCGGACCCCTGTCCCCCTCCTCTCCTCCGAGAGCTTCAGGCTCCAGCCGCCCGAGGGCGAGGCTGTGGGGCCAGGCAGCTGTGAGTGTGCTCCCCGTGGGCCCCCAGAGCCGGCCTTCCCCGAAACAGCAGGACGCGGGGCCAAGGCTGTGGGTGAGTCACTCGGCCGGCGGGAGGGACGGGGCTTTCTGGGAGAGGCGCGCTCGGGCGCTGAGTGTGTGTGCGGAGGGGCAGGAAGACCAACACCGAGTTCCCGCCACCGGGGGGCGGGACGCCGCCACCTTTACCTGGCGCGGCTGACGCACCTGGTGTGCGGAAGCGTGTCCCAGTTGCCTCACTTCCCCTTGCACACCTCCGGGAGCGGGTGGGCGCCGGGCCCGAGGGCAGCCTGCGGGCTGCAGCCCTTCCCATCACTCTCCGGCCCCCGCGGATGCTGCGAGGGGCGGTGCGGCCTCTCTCTCAGCGCAGGCATCCGGGCCTGGGCGCCCTTTCGAGGTCTGGGCTCTGTTCGAGCGGCGGGACATGCGGCCGATGCCACCGTGGGCGCACACTGTGGTATTCTCAGCGCGTCAGGAAAAAAAAAAAAAAAGGCAGTGGAGCCTGGGCCTGATTTCCTTACAACTTGCGTGAAGCATGTGGTCTGACTGTCTCCCCAGGGCGACGGTTCAGGAAGGGGCTGCCGAGGGCGAGCCCGCGTGGGTGATGGGTCCCCGTTCCCACGGCCAGCGGGCGGCGAGCGCTGGGGGAGAGAGGCCCCCGCTCTGCAGCTCGGGGCCGCGAGAGCGGAAGGCCGCTCGGGGCCTCGGGACCGAGCAGATGGTGCCGGGCTCTTGCGGGGGGGGGGGGGGGGCTCGGCCACACTCGCACCCCCCAGACCAGCAGGCAGCCCGCTGCCGAGAGTGGGGTGCGGGGCGGGATCGGGTGTGCTCCAGCTGCCCGCGGAGCCCCCTGCTCCCGTCCTCAGGGAGGCAGCCACAGCCAACGGCGGTGGGGGACCGGGGTCCCCTCTTCTCCACATCCTCGCCGGCACACGGTGCTCGGTCACTGTCTGGCGACAGCCGGTCTCCCGGCGTGCGGTGGTGCCCCACTGGAGTCTGGGTTCCCATGTCCCCGGCGGTGGTTGGCGCTGAGCCTCTTCCCGTGGGCCCGTGGGCCAGCGGTAGGTCCGCTCTGGAGGAAAGCAGAATGCAGCCACTCGTGCTGGGACAAGTTTGCACAGCGACAGACGACGGACAGCAGTCGTGGAGCGACCGCCGGGGGAGCCGTGAAAATGCCGAGTCGCTGTGTCGTGCACCCGGAGCCGGTACAGCCAGTGTGAGGCTGTGGCCAACTGCGCTTAAGGGAGAGCAACTCACAGAAGAAGAAAGGAAGGAAGGAACGAAAGGGACTGGCACTTCAATTAAGGTGCGACTCCAGGCAACAAGGTGTGTCATTTCCCTTCTGCGTCGCCGCCACAGAGGAACCCTCCCAGGGCAGGAGCGAACAAGGACTAGAACTGAGCCGGGAATTCTACAGTTTCAACACCTCACGTGTTTGGGCTTTTTTAAGGATTTTATTTACTCATTTTCAGAGAGAGGGGAAGAGAAGGAGAAAGACAGAGAAACATCAATATGTGGTTGCCTCTCATGCGCCCCCTACTGGGGACCCGACCCACAACCCAGGTGTGTGCCCTCACTGGGAATCGAACCGAGGACCTTTTTTGTTTCGCAGACCGACACTCAATCCACGGAGCCACACCGGCCACGGCTGAAATCATTGCGTCCTTACGCCCAGTACATGTGAAATGCAGTAGAAGTGAGTTCAAGGCCAGCCCTATGCCCGTGTCATCTCACTCGCATTTCCTGGGCGGGAAGCAGGAGCTGGCGTGGGAGGAGTCGCACGTGACCTGCAGGCCACCTCGTGTGAGACACAGCTGGGTCCCCAGTGCGCCCTGGGAAAGCGTCGGGCGGGCGTGGGTCTCCGGCGGGAGGTCGGAGCAGAGGCAGAGGTGGAGGGCTGCCGTCCCAGGACCACACTGTCCCCGGGCGTGCTCCGGGTGCCACTGGGTCGTTCAGTCATGGGGCGGGCACTCACGGAGCCCCTGGCACGGGACGGGCACCTCCTGGGCCTCACCCACCGGGACGGCGGTGCCCAGGGGGTGGGTGGGGCTCGGCCCGGCGGGACCTACACCCGTACGCAGACGGACAGCAGCGTTTCCGGACACGCCAGCAGCGAGGGTTCCTGCGGAGAAAATGGGGAGCATGTTGAGGGTGACGGTGAGGGGTCTCCTGGCCGAGGAGCCGCGCTCGAGCTGAGACCCAGACGAGTGTGCAGGAGGGGGTGTGCCGGTCTTAGGGGCTGGCCTTGCAGGCCCAGGGCGCTGCTGGGGTCGAGGGTGGGCGTCAAGGAGAGGCAGGAAGCCCAGGGTGGCTGGAACCCCGTGAGGGGACAGAGTGATAGGACATGAAACTAGATGAGTCCCAGAGCCCGCCCACTCCAGGCAGAGGCAGAGAATGGGGAGGAGCTTGCTCTTGTTCCAAGAGCAAACGCAAGTCCCCAGGGGACTGTAAGTTGAGCAAGTGGGTCAGAGCTCTCCCAAGCGCTCCAGGGACTGGGTGACCCCGATTCTACAGAGCAGCAGAGGCGGCTCCTCACTTCGACAGGCATCTGCCCACGTGGCCCCTGATGCTTCTCCCGGGTCCAAAAGCCACACCTTGTTCTGAGAAGATACAATAAAGCTCCCGGTAGGGTCCCGAGTGCTCTTGAACCCTGCACCCTGTGCCATCGGCCACAGCTGGCTGCTGGCCCTGGGAGGTTTAGTTCATGCAGCGACCTGCCCACCTGGCCGTGAAAAGCTGGCGTGGCAGATGCTGACTCAGCATCCTGACCAGGGGGCCACACCGGAGCGCAGCCCAGGCGTGCCAGGACCTGCGGAGGCACCTCGTTAAAAACACACACAGGCACAGCCAGTTTTTCCCATTAAATTCTGCGAGAGCCGCTCATGGGCCGTCTCTTCCCGCGGGCCAGGCCTGTGCTGGGCTAACATCTGCGCTGGGGCCGTGCTTTACGGGGCGTTTGAGGGTTGGTTCTTCCTGGGACGTGACATCGGAACCTGGGGGTGAGGCCGCCCGGAGATGCTGGGTGGACCTGGCCAGAAGGCACCCCTCGTGTGCGTGCCCCCGGCTGGGGACCGAGAGCCACGAGGGCCCCGCCCTCGCCCCCCGTGTGGGGCTGTCCCAGCCGCCAGCCAGGTGCCGCTGCCTGCTGGTGACGCCCGGGCTCCCAGCCCCTCGGGCGCCTCGGTGCCACTTCCCACGTCCGTCCTCAGCACGAGGGTCATTCCTCGGGGAGCACCTATATGGGCACACCGGGCGAGGGCACGGGGCCGGCCTGGGTTTCGTCGTGAGGTTACGTTTAGGCTTCTGTTTCGTCTTATCTAAACTTAAAACTTGACCCTTCCCCAGTCAGCCTTTCCCCAGCACAAGGGGTGAGTGAATGAATGAGGGAGTGAATGGGTGGGTGGCTGGATGGATGAATGATTGGATGGATGGGTGGGTGGAGGGAGGGAGGGACAGATGGATGGGTGGGTGGGTGGATGAATGAATGGATAGATGGATGGGTGGATGGATGAATAGGTGGGTGGATGGGTGGGTGGGTGGATGGATGGGATGGAGGGAAGGACAGACAGATGGATGGGTGGGTGGGCAGGTGGGTGGGTGGATGGGTGGATGAATGAATGAATGGATGGGTGGGTGCGTGGAGGGAGGGAGGGAAGGACAGATGGGTGGGTGGGCGGGTGGATGAGCAGGTGGGTGCATGGATGGGGGGAGTGACACTTGACTTCAAGGTCAAGGGATGCAAACAACCGAGACGTGCACAGAGTCCAGATCACACTGCCCTTCCTGAGTGTGACATCAGTGAAGAAGGAGGTTTGTCTTTCAGATTTTTAAAGCTGTATTTACATAAAGATAGATGTACATAAACACACGTATCGTGCGAGGGTTCGTTCTTCTCTAAGTGGAGGGTCACGTATTGTCTGTCCCACGGCCTTGCCTTTAGCTCGGTGGCAAGGAGGCCCCTCCGTGTTAGCACGGGTGTGGGCGCTTCTCCTTTCCGGCCACTGGGGGCGCTGTGACTGACCGCACGCCGGCCCGCCGGCCTGCAGGCAGGCACTCGGGGCTCGTCCCAGCGGGAGCGACCTGGATGCCATGTGGAGGGGTTGCCTTGAGCTGCAGCCGCCCCAGCTCAGTCCCAGGCAGGACTGTGCCTGCGAAACACGTCCGCGGAAGTGGGTTTCCTGTGCCCCGGGGTGTGCGTGCTTGGAGCGCTGGGACGTGCGTCTGCCCCCCCCCGCCCCTCCCCCGAGCTGGCCATCACCGTGTTGTCCATATTTGGTGATCTGGAGCACTGACACAGTGGGTCTCATTAGGGAACTGGTTCCCTAATTACTAAGTCGCTAATGAGTATGACCATCTGAGAGGGGAATTTACGTTTCGTGACTGGCCTGTCCCTTGCCTGTTTTTAAACTGGGCCGTTTACCCTCCTCACGTTGCTCTGCAACGGCTCTGCTGCAGTGTCTCCTCTGATCTGCTTGTGTGCCCGGTGCTCATCACATGCTGTGTTACTGCTCTAATTTCACAGTGCGTTTTGGTATCTCGTGTATCAATTTCTCATTCCTTCTTTCCAAAATTGTCTTCCCGTGCATCTTTTTCTCTCATATAAATTTTGGAATAAGCCTCTCAATGTTTTAAAAGAAATTTTGGGGATTTCAGGATTCTATTAATCAGGGAAAGATCATGCTTTTTGCCATCTTTTCTGGCTTTTAAAAAGGACATCCTGTCAAAGATCTTAATCTAAAAGATGAATTCACAGAGGTTTTCCACCTAGAGGAGCGTTAGGGCTTAATTAGTTTATAACCAGGACTAAGGAAAGGCTCTCTACCTATAATTCAAAACCCAGATGCAATAAAAGAAAAGATTGGTATAATTTGAAAACAAAGTGTTGCCTGGTTGAAATTCGCACTAGGAAAGTCAGAAAGCCTTTTATCTTGTAGATAAACCCACATCATGAGTACAGGACTAGTATTAGCACGTAAACCATCGCCACCACCACCACCACCGGCTTCGCTGCGTTGGGGAGCCAAGTGGTGTGCGTGCACGAACACTCACTGCCAGCCCTCCGTTTTCTGTGCACTGCGGGCCGGAATCCCGTGACGTCGGCGCAGCCGACCTCAGCGTGCCCCCTCCCCCAGCTTTCCCCCTCCCTCAGCGTTCCCCTTCCCTCAGCTCGGCTCGTGGCACAGGCGACCGGGGAGGCCGTGAACTTGTAGCAGGAAGGCTGCGCCGGCATTCCCGGGCTCCATCTTGGGCTGCAACTGAAACGAGCCACTTTTTTCTTCCCGTACTGATAGAATAAACCCATTTTTTATTCTTTTTTTTTTAAAGATTTTATTTATTTATTTTTAGAGAGGGAGGGAGAAAGAGAGAGAGAGAGAAACATCAATGTGCGGTTGCTGGGGGCCGTGGCCTGCAACCCAGGCATGTGCTCTGACTGGGAATCGAACCTGGGACACTTTGGTTCACAGCCCGCGCTCAATCCACTGAGCTACGCCAGCCAGGGGTCCATTTTTAATTCTTTGTGCATCGCAGCCATGGATGGTAGTTTCTACCTTCCAGCACTCACCATGGGGACTCCAAATCCAGTCAGTCCACCTGCAGCTGACAGTGGTCACCACCGAGGCCCACGGCGTTCCTCTCTCCCTGGAGCAGAAGTGGGGTTGGGAGGGCGGGCGCTTCAGCGTCAAGGGAGGAGTAAGGGGTTGCGCTGAGCCGGCCGCAGGGCGCCCCTGTGCTGGCCCGTTAGCCTGCCCCTGCAGCTCACCTGGGCCAACGGACTTCTCGCAGTCTGCGCAAACGAACAGAGTGTCAGACGGGAGAAGCGCCCCCTTCCTCGCCCGGCCCGCATTGCGGGGAGTGTGCCCGCCCTCGGAGTCCCGCGGGGAGCCGGAAGCACGTGGCCTAGGATGCGCAGTTAGTGTCGTGAGTGGCACCGACAAGTGTGCTCACTCAGGCTCTGCCTCCAACCAGACAGCGTCGCTTCGGCCCCGATGTGGGCTCAGGCCGACTTTCCACGGCGGCTGAGGGACCGGCCGGCCCTGGGGCGGACACCCGGCGTGTGCCGTGTGCCGCGTGCCACGTGCCGCATCTAATGGACACGTGGCCACCGGGCACGGGCATGTGGCTGGTGTGTCTGAGGAACCGAACTTTGTATCTTATTTCAGTTTTAAGGTATTTTATTTCCGTGTGTTACGGGGACACGTGGAAAGCGCAGCCCTGGGCCACTCACGAGTTCGGGATGGGATTCTGCGTTTCTCCTCGAAGGCTGCCGCTTCGCCGTGAGGCTGAACTGGCCGTCTTCAGTGCCGAACTGCCCTTCTCTCTCTCCTCCCCTAGACTCCATCACCCGGCACCAGGTCTGCGCCTGTGAGGACTACCTGCTGCAGTGACGGGGACGCCCCTCCACGCACGGCCCTGCCGGCGGCCCGCGCAGCGTCACCGGGCGGTCCCGTGACCCAGACTGCGAGGCGAGGACCCGCCCGCAAAGGGGCCTCTCTGTGGACAGCGTCCCGGTTGCCCCGTGTGGTGCGGGTGTCGTGCCTGGAACCCTCCTCGTGTGACTCTCCGGTGACAGGCCATGTGTTTCGGAGAAGCTGTGACTCGCCCCGCTGGGGACAGTCTGTGCGTGTCAGTAGTGACCTGAGTTCAAAGGTCACCGAACCTTTATCGCTCATTCATTAAATAAAGATGGGAATTAGTGTAGATTGTTTTATTGCAGAGCAGTCTGACCCCCAAAGTTTCCTGGCTGGGCACTGGGGTGTCCCTACCATGTCCTCTAGGGGACAGGGAGGACACTGGTCCCCGAGACACTAACGAGGACTGCAGTGCCACGGCGACAGTCAGTGCGGTCCAGCGGGGCGGACACACCCCGGCCTCCGCGGGCCACCTCGGTGCCTGCCGCCCCCCGGAGGAAGCGGCCCCTTCGCACAGAGCACCGCCGAGTCCCGCCGGCCCGGGGGGAGGGGGGCCGCGGAGATGTTCGCCAGCTGCGCCCCCCCCCGAGCCATGTCGCTCATCTCCGCGGCTGCTCCCACCACACAGCTCCAGTCCCCCAGCAACGCGACGGGCCAGCTTCCAGACCAGCCCTGTGCGAAACGAGTCGTCACACAGATGGAAATGGTGAAAGGGTTTTTTTTAATTTTTAAATTTTATTTATTTTTAGAGAGGGAATGGAAGGAGAGGGGGAGAGAGAGAGAAACATCAATGTGCAGTTGCTGGGGGTCATGGCCTGCAACCCAGGCATGCACCCTGACTGGGAATCGAACCTGCGACACTTTGGTTCGCAGCCCGTGCTCAATCCACTGAGCTGCGCCAGCCAGGGCTTGATGGTGGCTTTTAAACAGCGTCAACACAGACAGCCCCTCCTGGCACCTCAGGCCTGACAACAGGGGGACCTTTCTGCTCCAGCCGTCGCCGCCGTCCCGCTGGCAGTCCTGCGTCGCCGCCCCACGTACCCCATGGACGTGCGGGAGCTCGGGCGGAGCCCGCGACACCGGAAGTGCCCGCGGAGGCGCTGGGAATGGCGCTGACCCACGTTGGGGACAAGCCCTGAAGAACGTGCCGTCACCCCCGCCCCGGCCCCACGGGTGGCCTGGCCACCGGGCCTGCGCCCCAGTGCGTGGTGTCCCAGTGCTCCAGCATCTTTCTCCAGCAGCCGGCGCTTCTTGAGGCCCCCGACGGCACCAGGCCGCGTGCTGAGCGTTTCACACGCGGCGCCTCCTGTGAGCCTCCCAGGGGCCCCAAAGCCAGTGGCTGCCCGGCTGCCGTCCCCCACGCAGAACACGCAGGGCTGCCCGTGTCTTGGGAGTCTGACTTTTTCTTTAATTTTTAAAGCATGTGAGTTTTACCATTTCTATTCAATAATGTATCGAAAATTCTACCCAGGGAAGATGGCCAGAAAAAGAAATTAAAGGCATACAGTTAGAAATGAAGAAGTAAAACTATTGTCAGATCACATGATAGGATAAGTAAAAAATTACAAGGCATGAAAGAAAAAACAATAAGCAGTTTTTACCAGATTACAGGGCACAAAATCAATATACCGAACTAAGTTAGTGGATATTTCTGTGTACTCACGATAAACAGTTTGAAAACGGAAGAACACAGGACCATTTATAATGGCATCTAGGAGTAAACGAGTGTGGAATAAATGTAGCGGCCAGAGCATAAGACCTGCACACTGAAGCCTGCGAAGCCTGGCTGAGAGAAACTGAAGGTGTAGACGTGTGGAGGAACACACATGGTTCGCGTTTCAGAAGACAGCCTGGGTGAGGCGGCAGGCCTCAGAGTGGTCCGCAGACTCGGTGTGCCCGTCCGTGGGGGGCCCGTCCAGACGGTGTGCCCATCCGTGGGTGGCCCGTCCAGTCTGTGGACTCGGTGTGCCCATCCGTGGGTGGCCCGTCCAGACAGTGTGCCCATCCGTGGGTGGCCCGTCCAGACACAACACCAGGAAAAAAACGTCGGCCGTAAATGACACACCTGCCCGGCAGACGGACCCAGAACATTCCTCCCAGAAGCAGCAGAGCACACACCTCCTCGGTGGAACGCCGACTGCTCCCCGGGACCGGCTGGATGTCGGTGAGGCCGCAGCACACGGCTGCGGGCGCCAGCGAAAACGGACATCGGAGCAGGCGTCTCCGCCGCCCACAGCGGCCTGGGGCAGGGGGTCGTCGGGGGGTCCGGACCCTCAGCCAGTGATCACTCCCTCCTGAGACCACGTCCTTAAAGAGACAGGCGGCCCGTGCCCGAAGCTGCCGACCGCAGCACGAGTTGCACCGGACAGGAAGGGGGAGCAGCCGGATGCCCGTCCAGCAGAGTGGACACCACTCAGTCAGTGGGCGACCGTCAGTCGGGTGGAGCGCCCAGCAGCCCTTACGAACTGCCGTGCGGGCCGATGCAGCGCACGGGGAGTTCCTGGGGTGTGGAGTGGGAGACACCGCCCCGTGCACACCGCGGTCCGAGCCGGGCCGCACGGCGTGTGTGTGTGTGTGTGTGTGTGTGTGTGTGTGCGCGCACGCAAACACGGGAGGGTGGCAGGGAGCCGTGACCGGAACACTGCGGCCGGGGCATGGCCCGTGTTTGCATGTGATTTCCGAGCTATGATGTTCGTTCGCTAACGGCATTTTGGAAAAGAGAAATTCAGCGCCTGCCCAGTCAACAGCAGCCGCAGTCCGGTCCTCCCAGTGCGGCAGCTTGCGTGTGAATTCTGGCCAGCTCCTCCCCAGCTGCTCTCGGATGTCAGCCCCGGAGTCTCCGGCCAGGTTCCGAGAACGCCCAGAGCCTGAACCCTCTCCTCTCCAGATGGGGCCTTGGCACCCACGCACACCCGTTTGGGGTCCCCGCACCCCGGTGTGGCCTTCCCTCCCTCCAGCCCGACCTTCCCCCGCTCCACCCCCTCGTGGTTCTGTGCTTTTCCATGTTCAACGCAACCCCGTGGCCTCCTGTCCCACCCCCTGACTTCCCTTCCTCTCTGCAGGTCAGAGCGGCTCCACAGGGCTCCCCCCAAGGTGCGGGCCGGCCTGGGGTCCCTTCTGGAGGCTCCGGGGAGAGGTCCCCATCTCCCCGTCCCCTCGCCGTTTGTTTCCAGGCCCCGGGGCACCCGCCTCTCCCAGCTGGGGCTGCACCTCCAGCTGCAGGGCTGTCGGCCTGTTGGAGGCGACCTCACTCCTTCCCCAGGACACTGGCAGCTTGCCGCATCTTCCCCCCAGCTCAAGACCCCGATTTCCCGGGCCCCCAGAGGAGACCCGGAGTGACCTCTTTATGCCGAAGACAGCTGGCTAGCAGCTGGGGCCACCGTAGGTCCCTCTGCCGTGAAGGGGACATGTCACCGGCTGGGCCCGTTCTCCCACCTCCCGCTCTGCTCGTCTCCCTCGGGCCGAGTCCGGGAGGGACTGACTGGTCACCCGGCTCCGAGACACAGCCCCGGGCCCTCGGACAAGGTGCTTGTCTTTGTAGAGCCGCGGTTTCTTCGACGGGCACTAGTGTCAAGGAAAAAGTATATATTCATGGCACTTGTTAAGGCAGACTTCCAGGGGGGACACGGCCATAGGGGGGCCACTGCCGTGGGGACCCGCAGGCAGGCGGGCAGAGCTGGGGCTCAGCTCAGAGAGCAGCCTGGGACGGCGGGGGGGGATTGACAGCCAAGGGCAGGGTGGGGTCAGTGGGTGGACGCCTCCGGGGTGAGGGGCCTCTGGCCACAATGACCCAGCAGGACCCTTGCTGAGGGCGGCCAGGCGACCCGCCCTCACGTGGGGACGGCGGGGGATGAGGAAGCCCAGCAGAGGTTGAGGGCGATCAGGTAGCACAGGTGAGAGGTTGTGGTTCAGGTGACTTGGCAGGACCCTCACCACCTCTGGGTTCCATAGGCAGGTGCCAGGCGGGCCCGGGAGGGTCAGGAGATCAGCCTCGACCGCAGCACATGGGGAGTCGTCCTCAGCAGCCACAGTCACGCCCAGCGCCGGGGCGCCTGAGGCGGGGCGAGAGCCCTGCGTAGGAGCCCGCCCGCCCCTGCGGCCCCCCTGGCACCCCCTGGGGCCTCACCGCCAGCAGTCACCGGGACGTGGAGACGTGTGTGTTCCACAGGGACCCGTGGCTGCGAGTGAACGCCCTCGGTCCCTGCTCTCAGTGTTGCTTCAACTTCCCTTTCCCTGAGAACCGTCGAGTCCGTTTCCCGTGCCAGGAAAGCACAGAATCCGCTTCGGTCCCCCAAACACCCGAGTGGCTGACGGGGACCGTCACCCAAGTCACCGAGCGGAAGCCGGACCGCACACGCCGAGGCCCTCCGGGCTGGTCCCAGTTACCGGCACCTCCCCGAAGACGTGGGGCTTCCACGGCCAGAGCCCCCCTGGAACTCCAAGATGCTGGCCCCAGTCACGTCTGTGTCCACCTGGTTTCGGTTTTTTTTAATGTGCGGAGTCGCGGCTCATCTGTGGGAAGGGACAGGTTAACATCTTGAACACTCCGGAGGGAAGTGTTCCTGGAACAAAGTGAGTGTTGCATCCCCTCCTGCAGGCCAGCGGATGACCTCACAGCCACACCGAGGGGGGCGCAGTTGTTAGGAGGAATGTCTGTCCGTCTGTCCATCTGTCAACGTGAAGGCAGGGACGGGACGCGGTACTGGGAGTTCCGTCGGCTCGGCCGGGGACCACGGGAGAGGCAGAGACTGGCCGGCCCAGGCTCCGCGCCGCCAGCCAGCACCGGGAAACCCGATCGTGACCCTGGGGGTCCAAGAGAAGGGCTGTGACCTGGGCAGGCGGAGCTGCTGACAGGGGGGTCGGGGGGGGGGCCGTGACTCACCAAACCGCCAGTGTGGTTCCCAGAAGAGGACCAGGGACATGCCAGGGGGCCTCGGGTGGTGGAAGGATCCAAGGGGCGACGAAAGGCAGCCACCTCATCTCTGTGCGGGGGGCCTCCACCAGCTGTCAGACTGCGGGGCGGGGTGGGGGGTCAGGTTACTTTGAACCTGGCCCCTGCCATCCTTGAGCCGTTCCCATGAGGCCCTCCCCCCC